GACGGATTCAAATGATTTAAACAACGTTAACAATTTCTGAAAAAATACATAAAACACATGAAACAAATTGCAGAAATAATTACTTAAATTTCAATTTGAATCTAACAAACATTAAACTAACAATTTCTACCTAAACAATAAATAAGAACAATAAAACAAACATGAAACAAACTTGAAAAATTAACAAAACAATGAACACGAAACAAAACAAAAATCAAACATTTACCGATTTTAGATTCGAGAATATCAAAACGAAATACGGACATAATAAAACTCAAAACCCACTAACCGGATCGAAACGACGAATCAATGACTGACCAACGATGAACTCGTATGGACTGTTTTGACGACCCCAACCAAAGCTTGAACAAACGAGATGGTTTGAGTCTCGTTTTCGGACCGGACTGAAGCGACAAACCCATTTCTGTATGGGGTCTATTTGGACGTAGCGAAGCAGAAACACTAGGGTCAGCCATGGATGACGCAGCAGGTCGTTTGGTTGCTTGGATAGAGAAGATGAAAGCAAAGCCCCACGTCCATGGCTGGAGCTCGGGAACTCGACCACTCAACTTGAGCTCAGGCGAAACGAAGAAGATAAAGCAGACGACGCAGTAGTGGAGGTTTTTTTTAAACTCAGCTGCTCGACGACGTACAGTAGGGTAAGCCATGGACGTCCTTGAAGGAGCAGAAGAAGCAAACGATGCACAGTAGCACAGCTGAAGCAGCAGCGGCAGCCATGTGAGCTTGAGTTCGAGCTCGATGAAGCTCGTCCATGGCTGGTCGTTTGAAGACGAAGCCGCAGCAGTGGCAGCGAAGGGGTCACTGGAAACGCAGCAGCATGAAGTGAGAAAGAAGAAGAAGCAACGATCAACGTGAACTTGAAGAAGAAGAAACCCTCGCGATCTTGAAAAAGAAGAAGAAACACGGGCAGCGGGTNAAAATGTCACAAAAATTCTCAAAATTGCACACCAAGGAAAATCATTTTATTTTGAATTTGTTGGAAGTAATTCTCATATAGGGCAAAAATTACATGCTTACACCCGGTACAGGTTCATTATGATATTTAAGACTCGTTTGTGAAATTTGGTGAGAAATGGAGTTGGTTTGACGTGATTCGGACGTCCGGTTGTGAAGTTAGAAGTTTTAAAGTTTTATTAAAATTTTTTATTTGATTTGGTGCTAAATTCGTAGTTCTAGATGTTATTTTTGGTGATATGATCGCGCGAGTAAGTTCATATGATATTTTAAGACTTATGTGTATGTTCGGTTTGGAGCCCCGCGGCCTCGGGTAAGTTTCAGATGGGCTACAGAGTGATTTGAACCTTAGAAAGATTCCGGGTGTTCTTCAACTGTGTTGCAGGCCTCAGAAGCTTCGCATTTGCGACTACTGTTGAGGTCGCATTTGTGAGCTTCTCATCGCAAATGCAAAGAGAAGCTGGGCCAACATATGTTTGCAAATGCGAACAATACTTCGCATTTGTGATGGGTACAGAGGGAAGACAGACTTCGCAATTGCAAAGACTGGATATCAATTTCAAAGGCAGCATAAATACGGGGAGTTCGCATTTGCGAGCTTTGAAATTGCGAAGCTCACGTCGCAAATGCGACATCTGCAACTGTGTAAAAATGGACTTAGACGGAATTTTTCATTCATTCTCCAATTTTTCAAAACCTAAAACATAAGAGGCAATTTTCCAAAGACTTTTTCTTCCCCAAATCATAAGTAAGTGATTCTTAACTAGTTTCTTTCAATCTTTCAATTCGTTACAAGATTTCAATCTAGAATCGAAGGTTTTCATGGTAGAATTGGAAATTTTTGGGTAGAAGCTAGGGATTTCGAAATTTGGGGATTTAGACCTCAAATTGAGGTTGGATTCCAAAATCAATTGTATATCCGGTCTCGGAGGTGAATGGGTAAACGGATTTGGGTCCAAATTTTAGGTTTGGACCAAACGAGCCCGGGTGTTGACTTTTTCAAAAATGACCTAAATTGAATTCTTATTGATCATGGGTGATTTCTAAGGTTTTTTTTTGAAACGCTTGGTTGATAATTTGCTAGATATTGTTCGTTCGGAGGCGTGTTTGAAAGGCAAAGCCGTGATTGAGATTTGAGTAGCTTTTGGAGCGAGGTAAGTATTGTGTCTAACCTTGACTTGAGGGAATTAGGAACCCTCGGGCTATGTATGATGTGAATTCCATGTGAGCGGCGTATATGCAAGGTGACGAGTGCTTATGCGCCCCAAATTATCTGTTTTCCCTGATTTTCTGCTTTACTTTAACTATTTCTTTCCATGTTTTATTTGTTACATGCTCTAAATGTTGTCCATGCTCATCTGCTACATGCTAATCAATATCTTCTTCTGTTAACCATGCTAGCTCCTTTCATAGTTTTCCTTAATCCCTGCTATTTATTTAATTTGACTTGTTTGCACATTCTAATTGTAAATTGTTGGTTTGGTTTGGCTGTGTAGTGTTATTTTCGTGTAGACTCTATGTTGAACGAGGTTTCTTTTCTTGGTTCAGTTTGGTATTTATTTATTGTAAATGCATTGTGATTTCGATTGGTGAATTGACTGTTGACATTTATTATATATTATTGATATTGTTACGGAGGAATAAAGAAGGATTATGTGTTTTCTGGTGAGATCGGGTTGCATGACGCAACAACTTATATATTTACATTTCTTGAGCTGCATTGTTTCTTTATTTTTCCGGTATTTCTATTTGAGCTGGAAAAGGTTGGTAAATCTGGACAATACCGGTTTATTTCGATGTCGTGGTTATCATTTCCTGTTGGCTGTTAATTCCAGTACTTTATTTCAATTATTCTTCCATTATTATATAATGCGTACAGGTTTTAGTGTAGGTGACCCGCCTTAGCCTCGTCACCACTTCGTCAAGGTTAGGCTCAACACTTACCAGTACATGGGGTCGGTTGTACTGGTGCTGCATTCTACACACTTTGCAGATTTTGGGGACGGTCCCAGCGGCGGATATTAGAAAGCTCGGATCAGACAGCTTATGGAGACGTGAGGTACAGCTGCTCAGTGTTCGTAGCTCCTGAAGTCCCCTTCTTGTTGATACTTAGTTGTGTATCTTCTTTTCAAACAACTTTATGGTATTTCAGACTTTTGTATGTAGTATTCTAGTAGATTTTGCACTTGTGACACCAGATTCAGGGATTGTTATAGACGTTTGGCAGATTTATCTTCCGCATCGTTATTTTAGTTATTCTAATTGCCTTTTGTTATCACTTAAGTTGTTAAAAGAACTATATTGTTCTAACGTTGGCTTGCCTATCAAGTGAAATAATTGGCGTCATCACGATTCCAATGGTGGGAACTCCAGATCGTGACACACAACCAGGTGTCTGGACAATTAGGGGTGTCAATGGTTCGGTTCGGCCGGTTATATTATAAAATTTGTACCATACCAATTTTTCGGTTATTCTCTTATGTATAACCAAAATTAGACTTTTAGAAACCGTACCAATCATATCAGTTTCTCTTCAGTATCGGTACGGTTCGGTTAATTTTTGGTATTTTTCTAAATATCATGCAAAATTCACCAATAGAAGTAGAATGTCATAACATATGTTCTTTTATAGGACTCAGCACAACGTTTCAGATATTTTTACTATTTAAAGGGTGATGAATTAAAAAATAAAAGATGACTAGAGTATAGATCCATCAAATATTCTATAACAACGTAAAAGAAACTAAGCAACGACAAAGAAAATATAAATCACACAAGTAGAAAGATATTAACCAAGCTAGAACTCTAGAATAAAGTCTATAGAAGATTAAATTTTCAAAAAGATATATCAAAATTATATGAAAGGAAACATATTCAATACATTGTAGTTTACTACTCGTAATCTCTATAATACTTTGTGTCTTGCTAATAAAGATACTTGAAATAACTTAGTTTAAGTAGAAGTAGCATAATAGGTTTTAGGAATTAGTATTTTGAGTTTAATTTCTTGTTGGCTTGTAATAGTTTTCATAATTCCAAGACCCAAAGAAAAATTTAATGCATTATTATTTTTAAACTTACTAGATAAATATATTTTTCACATGTAAAATTTATTCGGTACGGTTCAGTATTTTTCGGTTTATTTTTATAAAATAAAAAAACCTACCCTAATTATCGGTGCAGTTATAGATTTATATAAAAATCTACGGTTTTTTAAAAAAAAACCTAAAATTCGGTTCGATACAGTACGGTTCGATCGATTTAGTCGGTTTTCGAATATACATTGACACCCCCGTGGACAACTGGAGATAAAACTAATTAAGCAATATGTGTCGCTAAGTTTTGATTGTTTTCCTACTGTACATGCAAATTAAGCATAACCATTAATACAAGAGTGAAGCTAGCTTTTAGAGTTCTATAAGTATACAAATCTACTATATCTATATATTATTAAAAGCTAAAGAAAAAAGCACCACATTAAACAAATTTGCAATTTATTAAGATATATTGATAGTATATATAATTAAATTAAATAGTGATGAGTAATTTAGGGACTCAATTAAAGACAAGTTATTTTTAATATGAAATAGATTTTTAGACTTAGCGAAATAAAACTACCATCAAACTAGAATATAAAAGCAAATAACTTAATTATTATCACGACAAAGAACTAGACTACCAACTAAGAGTATTATCTATCATAAGTTTTTTTATATAAACATACACATATAAATACGTAATAATAAAATTTTAAATAAGTATTTCTAAAGTTGGTTTGGTTCGAATTTTTCGAATTATTTTTTAGTTAAAACCGAAATCAAACTTAGTTTAATCAATTTTTAAAATTCAATATCAAACCAAAATATTATTGACTTGGCAATGGACAATCCGATAATAAAGGTAGAAATAGAATTTAGTCAGATTGATTAATATAGTATACCCATTATTGTGGCAATTAAATAAAAGAGAATTAATCAACGCCTAAAAATGGGGAATGTATTACAACAATAATTTCTTCTATTTAGAGAGGGAAATGTGCAGTAATTCATTCATCAATGGCACTACCATTTTCTTCATCTTCCTCAGTCCTACCAATCTAGATTTTTCCCAATCAATTTATGTGTTCTTTTCGCTTGTACTAATTTCGGAACACTTGACCCTTATTTCTTCTATTTCAATTTGTTGCGTCTCCATTTACTATATATGGGCAGCAGCAAAATTGGCCGCAGGCCTTTCCCTGAAGATTTAGACGGAGAAATTCTACTCAGGCTGCCCGTGATGTCGTTGTTGAGATTCAAATGCGTGTGCAAGAACTGGTATGTTCTTATCAAGAGCCCCGCTTTTATTAGAAAACACTTGAATTGTAGCAAGAATAAGCCTTCCCAATTCATGATTTATGATTATAATGCGCGTGATGATTCCCCTCCCATTACTTTGATTTCAGAGAATCATGGAGACGGTGAAGCTCCTGATTATATCCATAGATTTAAAGATATGACGAATGTTATAGGCTCTGTGGATGGATTGTTTTTGTTGCGGAGAGAAATTGATCCCGAAAACAGATACATGCATATCTTTGCAATGGCGATGTGGAATCCTTCGACCAGAGAGGTGAGGCACCTCCCTCCACACAAAATCCAGTACACTCACTTTGGGTTCGGATTAGATCCCTTGACTAATGACTATAAGGTGGTTTGCTATAATTTCCACTTTGGTGAATATGAATATGCAGCTGTCTACTCTTGTTCTACCGACTCATGTAGAAACATTACACCTAAAATTAAATTCTATTCTTACGGACGATCTTTACATGAAGCCTGTGGTATTGCTTATCTGAATGGGGCTTATTATTGGCTGATAAGGGAGGGGCGTAAGCCCAGCATTCTTTCGTTTGACTTTAGCAATGAGGTGTTTGAAGAGATTGAAGGGCCAGATGTTATCTCTTTTAGTTCTCTGATATTGCTTGACGACTCGGTTGCCCTCTTGACCTTTTATGGAAATTCTGTTCATGATATATGGGTAATGATCCAACCAGGGGTTTGGAACAAACTTTTTACTTTTCAAAACTTTACATGTATTAAGACTTGGTATTCCAGCTGTCTCATTTTGGCAACTAAACGTTCTCGGCTAGTCTCATATAATGTTAGGACTAAGAAGACAAGACGTCTTGGATTTTGTCACCCAGTCCTGCGACGCTGCTGTGGGTTTTATGTTTATAAGGAAAGCTTAGTGACATTGAAACGAGAGAATGGAGAGCAGCTGGACCATCGCAACTTTCCTGATGCCTCGTTTGAGCTTTAAACAAGAGTATGCAACAAACTCAAGTGTGGAGAACATAGAGGGGGAGCGACAAACACAGAATCCTATAGTTATTAGAGTGTTTCAGCGAATTGATATAGAGTAGGTTTACGAGATGAATGAATTGATTGTGTGAATTCCCGACTCTTACCTTTTTAATACAGTTATGAAGAAATTACAGCGATACACGCCTGTGATTTCTTAGTCAGATCTGCTACTGTATCACTTTAGCGAGAAATGTTACAAGATATACTGAAATATTTGGTTCCTAAAGATTTTGGAATTCAGCCTGCAGAAACTTTGGAGTGAGAAATTCGAGCAATTTATATATCACATGTTCCGTTCATTCATTGAGACAAGAGGGGTTGCTTTGATGGTAAGCAACCCCCACTTCCAACCAAGAGGTTGTGAGTTCGAGTCTCTCCAAGAGCAAGATGGGAAGTCCTTGGAGGGAAGGATGCCGGGTGTCTATTTGGAAACAGTCTCTCTACCCTAGGCTCGGAGTAAGGTCTGCGTACACACTATCCTTCCCAGACCCCACTAAGTGGAATTATACTGGGTTATTGTTGTAATGAGCTGTAGCAATTTTGAATAATGAGCTGAATGGAGAGAGTACCTATCTCTGTGAAACAAATTATATTGAGATATTACAAGACATGAGCTTTCTACTTTGTTTTTCTCCCCGAGATGTTGAAATGTTTTTATCCACCAGATTTCCTTCTGCTTTTCGATCTTCTAATTATAGGAAATTTCTAATGTTCAAGTATAAAGTTTATTTAGCCCATTAACTGTTCTTTATTTATGTTTCCATTCTCTTGCTTCTTCTTTTATTGTGGCGAGAATTTCAGGATTTCTGCTGTTAATGAGTGACATTCTGCATAACCTTGGTTGCATCATTGACAAATGCATTGTTTTTATTTGTTTTAATAACTGTTGCCTATTTGTTTTCGGATACATGATCAATACAAGTCATTAAAGAACACATAATCTTTGCTTTTGTCCCTCAAATGTTGAAATGCTTTTATTCACCATATTTCGTTCAGTTTTATTCACTTTTTTTTGGTAACTAAACAATTTTATTACCAAGTAATATTTTACACGCAACTTACGGAGACGTGAGGTACAGCTGCTCAGTGTTCGTAGCTCCTGAAGTCCCCTTCTTGTTCATACTTAGATGCGTATCTTCTTTTCGAACAACTTTATGGTATTTCAGACTTTTGTATGTAGTATTCTAGTAGCTTGTGTACTTGTGACACCAGATACAGAGTTGTTATAGACGTTTGGCAGTTTTATCTTCCGCATCGTTATTTTAGTTATTCTAGTTGCCTTTTGTTATCACTTAAGTTGTTAAAAGAATTATATTGTTCTAACGTTGGCTTGCCTATCAAGTGAAATATTAGGCGTCATCACGATTCCAATGATGGGAACTCCGGATCGTGACACACAACCAGGTGTCTGGACAACTAGGGGTGTCAATGGTTCGGTTTGGCCGGTAATATTATAAAATTTGTACCATACCAATTTTTCGGTTATTCTCTTATGTATAACCAAAATTAGACTTTTCGAAACCGTACCAATCATATCGGTTTCTCTTTGGTATCGGTACGGTTCGGTTAATTTTTGGTATCTTTTATAGGACTTAGCATAACTTTTTAGATATTTTTACTATTTAAAGGGTGATGAATTAAAAAATAAAAGATGACTAGAGTATAGATCCATCAAATATTCTACAACAACGTAAAAGAAACTAAGCAACGACAAAGAAAATATAAATCACGCAAGTAGAAAGATATTAATCAAGCTAGAACTCTAGAATAAAGTCTATAGAAGATTAAATTTTCAAAAAGATATATCAAAATTATATGAAATGAAACATATTCAATACATTGTAGTTTACTACTCGTAATCTCTATAATACTTTGTGTCTTGCTAATAAAGATACTTGAAATAACTTAGTTTAAGTAGAAGTAGCATAATAGGTTTTAGGAATTAGTATTTTGAGTTTAATTTCTTGTTGGCTTGTAATTGTTTTCATAATTCCAAGGCCCACAGAAAAATTTAATGCATTATTATTTTTAAACTTACTAGATAAATATATTTTTCACATGTAAAATTTATTCGGTACGGTTCGGTTTATTTTTATAAGATAAAAAACCTACCCTAATTATTGGTGCGGTTATAGATTTATATAAAAACCTACGGTTTTTTAAAAAGAAACCTAAAATTTGGTTCGGTACAATACGGTTCGATCTATTTAGTCGGTTTTTGAATATACATTGACACCCCTATGGACAATTGGAGATCAAACTAATTAAACAATATGTGTCGCTAAGTTTTGATTGTTTTCCTACTGTACATGCAAATTAAGCATAACCATTAATACAAGAGTGAAGCTAGATTTTAGAGTTCTATAAGTATACGAATCTACTATATTTATATATTATTAAAAGCTAAAGAAAAAAGCACCACATTAAACAAATTTGCAATTTATTAAGATATATTGATAGTATATATAATTAAATTAAATAGTGATGAGTAATTTAGGGACTCAATTAAAGACAAATTATTTTTAATATGAAATAAATTCTTAAACTTAGCGAAATAAAACTACCATCAAACTAGAATATAAAAGCAGATAACTTAATTATTATCACGACAAAGAACTAGACTACCAACTATGAGTATTATCTATCATAAATTTTTTTATATAGACATATACATATAATTGTGTAATAATAAAATTTTAAATAAGTATTTCTATAGTTGGTTTGGTTCGAACTTTTCGGATTATTTTTTACTTAAAAACTGAAATCAAACTTAGTTTAATCAATTTTTAAAATTCAAAATCAAACCAAATTATTATTGACTTGGCAATGGACAATCCGATAATAAAGGTAGAAATAGAATTTAGTTAGATTTGTTACGTTAAAAATCAAAATATGGTGGATGTCTACTCTTCCTCCATGATATTTCTCTCAAATGGTTAATGACATATTCAATAACATATTTTCTATGTTCAATGACATATTCCATGACATATTTTCTTCACTTTTCATGCATATATAAAGACCTTGTAATAGATAGAAAAATACACACAATTGAAGAAGAAAATCTCTTCCTTCTCTCTATCTCTATTCTTGTTCATGTTTTACTAAGTTGCTTTTATTTCTTGTTCATACTTTACTAAATTGCTTTTATTTCTTGTTCATGCTTTACTAAATTGCTTTTATTTCATAACACGTTATCAGCACGAGTCTCTAACCAATTGTATTTATATATCTACAAAAAAATTTCCTATATCCAGAAAGATTACAATTAGAAGTCATACATATCATCACGTGGTTAAATGTAAAGAGAAATTACATATGGTAAAGAATGAAATGTAAGAAGGTATGATTATCTTATACTTGTTATTCCCTTAAAAATCTCATATGCACACAACTTTGTACTACACCTATATTGCATAAGCACATATTAATATTACATCTTTTATATCACATGAATGGAATAAAATTTTCGAAGTTCTATATGTTAAAATCATAGTAGCAGTTAATTGTTGATATGATGCATGTCATGGTAACCAAGGATATTTTATATAAATTGTCCTATGCATATTTATGTGTTAACTATCTTCAATCTGTCTTGCCGCTTTAAACATTTTCTTTTACTTGGATGAATATTTTTTTTCTTTTGGATTTTTACACTTGCATATAGCACCAAAAAAAAAAAGGAATAAAAAATAAAATAAAATCGGTCATACTGATTAAAAGCATAAATCATCTTGAAGAAAACAAGAAATACTTCACATCTTTATCTAGGTTGATTAATTACTTCTTTGAAGTTTGGAAAACAAACCAGCTATTGAGAAAGTATACTTCATAATTTATGGTCGTATCATTTGAAAGCAAACAATGATTAGTATGACTACTAGAAGAGGTATTTTTGAGTATCCATGACCTACTTGATGTTTGCTACTGACTTACCATTTTTAAGTATTTTATATGAATGATGCACAAGCTACAACTGGTAAGTTGTGACCTATAATGTCACTTTTCAGGTAATATAAATGTTGAATTTATGTATTAGTACTATATATATGTATTGTTACCTATATGGTGTACTTTTGATAAATTTATTCACTAATTACTTGGTTGAGTTGAGTGAAGGAAAGTCATGACATTTAATCAAATCCAATAGGTAGGGTATACCCCGAAAACAACAATATTTTTTAAAGAGACTCAATAAATATTATGACAATGATTTTATGATCCTTTTAAACTCTAATAGAATTTAAAAGAAATATTCTGACTACAAACGGTTGTATTTCATATAGATGCTACAAATCATTAATAAAGGNTTCCTTCTCTCTATCTCTATTCTTGTTCATGTTTTACTAAGTTGCTTTTATTTCTTGTTCATACTTTACTAAATTGCTTTTATTTCTTGTTCATGCTTTACTAAATTGCTTTTATTTCATAACACGTTATCAGCACGAGTCTCTAACCAATTGTATTTATATATCTACAAAAAAATTTCCTATATCCAGAAAGATTACAATTAGAAGTCATACATATCATCACGTGGTTAAATGTAAAGAGAAATTACATATGGTAAAGAATGAAATGTAAGAAGGTATGATTATCTTATACTTGTTATTCCCTTAAAAATCTCATATGCACACAACTTTGTACTACACCTATATTGCATAAGCACATATTAATATTACATCTTTTATATCACATGAATGGAATAAAATTTTCGAAGTTCTATATGTTAAAATCATAGTAGCAGTTAATTGTTGATATGATGCATGTCATGGTAACCAAGGATATTTTATATAAATTGTCCTATGCATATTTATGTGTTAACTATCTTCAATCTGTCTTGCCGCTTTAAACATTTTCTTTTACTTGGATGAATATTTTTTTTCTTTTGGATTTTTACACTTGCATATAGCACCAAAAAAAAAAAGGAATAAAAAATAAAATAAAATCGGTCATACTGATTAAAAGCATAAATCATCTTGAAGAAAACAAGAAATACTTCACATCTTTATCTAGGTTGATTAATTACTTCTTTGAAGTTTGGAAAACAAACCAGCTATTGAGAAAGTATACTTCATAATTTATGGTCGTATCATTTGAAAGCAAACAATGATTAGTATGACTACTAGAAGAGGTGTTTTTGAGTATCCATGACCTACTTGATGTTTGCTACTGACTTACCATTATTAAGTATTTTATATGAATGATGCACAAGCTACAACTGGTAAGTTGT